GGAGTTTCTGGCCTGACTTTTCTCATCAAGAAGCCTAAGCTGTCCTTCCATGATCATTGAGTGGAACATTTTATCGTTCCAATTGGTTTACTTGGTTCGAAATGCAGTCGCCCTAAAGAAGATTCGATTTACACTTACATGGAAAATCTAAGACAGAACAAGCAAGATTTTGTTTTGCTGCCTGCTCAGCCTTTTTATTTTTCCGGAAAATGCATGATGAATCGGTGTGTATTGAACGAAATTGCATTGCAGGCGGAACGTATAGCTGATCTTGAGAAGGCGCTATGCGGTCTGTCCGTAGCCGAAAGGAGGCGTTCTTTTGCGTTAGTTATTTATTCAATTTTAGCTTATATGCCATGTAATCCCTCTAAGTAGCGTAACTTTTGGCTCAAAACCCGCGTTCGAAATTCACTCTTTTTAAGGTTGGAGCGCGCGTTGCATCAGTGAATTAGTTTCTGGGATCAAAAAGTCCCATCTTATTTTACTTCTGAGGGTTCAGTGGTTGATTAGTGCAAGTACTTGGTTCAGGATGACCTGGATTTGGGCTTACCTGATTGATAAAATGGTGGCGGTTTTAAGATAATTTCTAGCTAGAGACTTGCCAAGAGGTGGGCGTTGATTTTTCCAGGCATAAGAAAAAAACTCCGCTTTACTGGCTCCATTAGCCTTTCCTGGATTAAATGAGGGCAGTAAATTTCTGAAAATTAAGAACAAACTCTTACAAAACGTCGCTGAAAAAGTTCTGTGGAAAACAGCTTTGCGTGTTAGGCCTCTGTTGTTTCTGGAGAAAAGGACGACACATTTATGTGTGTTTTTCCGCAAATACAGGCACTCGAGGACTCGGAATGATAAGTAAACGGCCATTGGAAGGCTAAATCGTGGGTGGATGGACTAAGTGATGCGGCTGATGTGTGTTAAATTGATAGATAATTTGCGGCCCTTGGTAGGAGTTTGATTTTGCATTGCTGTTGGCATATTTGGCAAGGAATTTGTTCTCAAAATTTTAACTCTGTAACTTTCGTGGTTTTAGGGTTGAATTGTTTAGAAAGACAAACGTATACACACAGAGAGATGGACACAACCTTAGCACAGCAGCTGCTTTTTTTTTTCGAATTCATTCTAGAGCCTTGCAGCGATCAAA